ACTCTTAGATAGTAGGAGATTATGATTTGCGTTTCATTCAATTAAGTCGATGATGAAATCCTTGGCTAAGGTGTACTCATAAGTTGAAAAGGAGTTGTCGACTTATATTGACTTAATAGTGGAGTGAAAGATATGATCGATAATCGAGATTGACACACTTCCATATCTCGTAATTGATCGGATCATAATGACGAACGGATTATAGTTTCACGGTAAACGAACGAGTTTGGTTTTGTCATACCACATGATATTTCCCGTCACATGTATTACCCTGACACATTGCTAGATGTCAATTTGGGACGACGAGTGTGAATTAATGATAAACTAAAAGGGTGTTTTAATTTATCAATTTTGATTAGATTAAAATAATATTTCACGTCGTTAGGCATCGTGATCGGGAAGCTGATGGGTCACACACAAAAAAGAATTGGAAGATTGCAATTTGTCAATTAATTAATTTAACAATCGTTGGATAAATTAATTAATTGGTTTGGTTATTTATAGGCCTGAATTAATTAATTGGAATAATTAATTCACAGGCCGTATTTAATTAAATGGATTAATTAAATATTAGACCGGACCAGGCCAGGCCCAGTTGGGCTTATATAAATACATGGCTAGGGTTTTCAATCCATATGATTTTTTTCTCATAATTATTCTTGCTAGCACAAGAGAAAAAAAACCCTGGTAGCTGCAATCTTGTGTAGATTACCGTTGGAGGCTGGACAATTAGACAACTGTGGGTGACGAATCAAGGTTGCTGGAACGAAAAAAACAGTAAAGAAGTTTGCAGATCTGGAAAAGGTACAATCTTTTCACAATTTCTATCTAATCACAAAGATGAATCTTGGTGGGAATTGAAAATTGTTTTAATTTTCGCTGCGCATGTTAAGTAGATTCTCTACAGTGGTATCAGAGCCTACTTTGTGTTTGTTAGAGATTGTTTTGAATTTTTGGGCGTAATCAAATGTTGATTTTGTTCGTTTCACTGTTTCTAGCAATTAATTCAATTTTCAAAATTAGTTTTGAATGGAATATTATTTTGGATTAGAATAAACAAAATAAAAAAAAGAGGCAGAATCTAAGCCGGCACCAACGCTGCCGCAGCGGCAGTGCCAGCGGTGCCAACTGCTTGTGGCGTGGGCAGCACCGGCTGCTTACTGTAGCTGTGTGCGCAGCAGCGCCGCACGCTGCTGCTGTCGAACATGGCAGGAGTGCCTGCTTCCGGGCACTGCAAGGCCAAGAGAAGAAGAAGGAGCGTCGACAAAGAAAGAAGAAATCTTAGGGTTTTCAGTTTGGTTTTGGGTGATATGAGACAGGTGCTTTAGTTGAAATTTTTGAAGTTTTGAGCCCTTATGTGTAATTTGAATTCGGGGTCAATGGGTAAATTTTAAATGGAGGGCTTCCATGCAATTTCAGAAATAGAAGGGACCTCTTTACGATTTTCAGTTGGGTCAGAATGCAATTATGTAAAAGGGTTCAAATGTAATTTTCTAAAGAAGGGCATCTTTGCAATTTCGAGAATTAAAGGGCTCTGTTTGTAATTTTGAATTTGAATTTTAAAATGGTTTTAAAATTGTATTTTAATGGGTCTAACCTATAATTTTCATTTTGACCCAAATTAAAGTTTTATTCAAAATTGACAACTTTTTATATTTTCGTTAAAATATGATTTTAACTTAAATATTAAATTTGACCCTAAATTGAATTTTATTTTATTTAGGAGTTTCATCTTAAATTAAAATATTAATTCAATTTAAATTAGAGTTGGACTCTAATTTAATACTTAATTAAAATTTGATTTTAATTAATTATTCATCCGATTATATTTTTGAAATTAGAATTGAATTCTAATCTGACATTTAATTAAAATTTGTTTTTAATTAAATTGTGTTGCCCTAAAATTTTATTTAAGATTAGAGACTCTAATTGTCGAATTAAAATTTGATTTTAATTATACATGTTTGCCCTAATATCTTGGAATTAGAGTTTGACTCTAATTTTGTTATTTAATTAAAATCTGATTTTAATTAAATTCAACCGCCTTAAATTTTGAAATTAGAGTTTGACTCTAATTTGATATTTAATTAAAATTTGATTTTAATTAAATTATCCCGCCCTATAATTGTTGAATTAGAGTTGGACTCTAATTCGGTATTTAATTAAAATTTGATTTCAATTAAAAATGCCCGCTAATTAAATAAATTGATTAATATGATTAATATATTATTCCGATCCATAAGTCTAAAAGAGTTTAGACGATCTTAATTGCTAGAAACTTGAAATATGTTTGCATATAATATTAGATATTATATGGGCATACATTTATGTGATGAATGTATTATTAGTGGAAGATTTTGAACTGACCATATGGATGTGTCGAATGGTTAATTTTATTATTATCGTTTTATGAGCCGCGAGCTCTTAATTGTTTTGGATCTGTGAGCCCGTTATTGTTGTTATTATTATGAGTCTGCGAACTCTTAATTATTTTGGACCTGCGAGTCCGTTATTCTTATTATTGTTATGGGCCTGCGAGTCCAATTTCATTTAGGCATGCGTGCCAACTAGTATAGGATACATGTTGCAATTAGACTAATTGATGAAACAAGAAGAGGAGGAGACCATGGAGATTGTGCATTGATACTGTTCAATGCTATACCCCCTAGGAATTGACCAACTAGTCTTCCTTATGGCTCGGGAAGACTAGATAGTAAAAGTCTATAATCGTTCATACTATTATATTATGTTATATATATTTATTTGCATGGTAGATGTATAATAAAATATATATTATTGTTACGATGAGATCTTTGAATGCAAAATCCCTCCATAAAATATTAAGTCACATTTATAATCGCCTTCCATCATTATAGTGAAAACCCAGAGTCCAAAATCGTTTCAGCCTGTTGAGTACACTCAAAGCTGATCTATTAGAGATATGTTTGACACTATGAAATATTTGATATTTCAGAATGACGAGTTTGATCTATTTAGGAAAAAATATAAGAAAAATTTATATTTTTGTCAATTTTACTTACACGTTTCTTAATCCGTGTGAAAATAGATATATGTTTATCTTTGTGGGACGTAAGGAGTATGATTATATCTATTTTAATGAAGAATTGTGTGGTTAAAAATGAATATTGTAGATAAAATAATGTGATAGAATGGTTGACAAACAAAAGTTAGATCTATTGCGACTATCAATTTTTAATTTACGTTTTTAGTACCTAATTGTAAGTGTTATGCCCTAGGTCCAATCAACTTTGGACATAAATACTTTTGATATATATAATTAATGCAATTTAATGGCAGATCTATTATTTAATTAATAGACAATTAAATAAATAATAGAGTCCGTAGGTTCAAATCTTCGTAATTTGTTAATCACAAGGAGTTGTGATTGTGAGATATAAATTATATATGATTGAATCTTAAATCGTCCATGGTCGTAAGTAATAACGAGATACGAATATTGTTATTACGGATAGATCATCACGTGTAGCATTTCTTACTTGTGAAGTAAGTAGCTGATCTCACAAGCTAAAGTGTGGTGACACTTAACTGAACACGTAGATGTTTTGTTATATAACAGAACATTGGAAACCCACCAAGAGATTCCACATGGATAACTATCTGAGTGTCAGTGATTAATCTCTATTGTTCCGTAGTGGATTTGGTCCTTTGACTTGAGGTCGTCATGGTACCTTATATGAGGACAGTCATACTTTGAGGGTGTTGGATGTTGCTCTGCAAAGGACTGCTAATACGACATCGTTTGGGTACATCAAGAGTCGTATGAAAGTTGTGATTGACCAATAAAGGATTTGTCACTCTTAGATAGTAGGAGATTATGATATGCGTTTCATTCAATTAAGGCGATGATGAAATCCTTGGCCAAGGTGTACTCATAAGTGGAAAAGGAGTTTTCGACTTAATTTCGACTTATATTGACTTAATAGTGGAGTGAAAGATATGATCGATAATTGAGATTGACACACTTCCATATCTCGTAATTGATCGGATCATACTGACGAAGGGATTATAGTTTCACGGTAAACGAACGAGTTTGGTTTTGTCATACCACATTACATTTTTCGTCACATGTATTGCCCTGACACATTGCTAGATGTCAATTTGGGACAGCAAGTGTGAATTGATGATAAATTAAAAGGGTGTTTTAATTTATCAATTTTGATTAGATCAAATTAATATTTCATGTTATTAGGCATCGTGATCGGGAACCTAATAGGTCGCACACAAAAGAGAATTGGAAGATTGCAATTTGTTAATTAATTAATTTAACAATCATTGGATAAATTAATTAATTGGTTTGGTTATTTATAGGCCAGAATTAATTAATTGGCTTAATTAATTCACGGACTGGATAAATGGATTAATTAAATATTAGACCGGACCAGGCCAAGCCCGTATAGGCTTATATGAATACATGGCTAGGATTTTCAATCCATATGGTTTTTTCTCATAATTATTCTTGCTAGCACGAGAAGAGAAAATCCTGATAGTTGCAATCTTATTCTTTGTGTGGATCACCGTTAGAGGCTGGACAATTGGATAGCTGTGGGTGGTGAATCAAGATTGCTGGAATGAAAAAAATAGTAAAGAAGTTTGCAGATCTGAAAAGATACAGTCTTTTCACAATTTCTATCTAATCACAAAGATGAATCCTGGTGGGAATCGAAAATTGTTTTAATTTTTACTGCGCATGTTAAGTAGATTCCCTACACTAATTCCATGGCCAGGGCCGCATGCGATGTTCTCAATCGACAAGTTCGAGGTGCCGGGGCCTATAGAGACACAATCATCTCCGGTGCCAATCCGAGAGTTCATAATTGTGACTCCTGTTGATTTCTCCACGTGAATTCCGTCAGTGTTTGGGTTGTTGCCTGGTGCAGAAACCTTTATTCCCACTAGCTTGGTATTGTGGCATCCATCAACAAGAATGTTGAACTTCTGGCTATTTATTGAAGATAATCCATTCATTATGATGTTGTTGGAATTGTAGAAGGCCAGTGTCTGAGCAAGAAAGAATCGAAAAATTACGTTAGAATGTACAAGATGAAAGTAAAACCCACTTTCTTCTTTATTAGCATACCGTTGCTCTGGTTGGACAACTCTTGCCGGAATTTTTGCAAGCCCATAATTTAGTCCCTTGGCCATCTAGGGTTCCACCAATAACAGAAACTCTGGTCACACTTTCGAACTTGATCCAGTTACCAGAATTTCCAATAACATTAAAATCAGATGGAGCTACTAGTGTCCCATCAATTTCAATCGTTATAGCAGTGTTTTTGCATGACTTGCCGGCAAAAGTTGCAGCTCCAAGTAAGTATCTTCCTGGTGGCACGAAAATGGTGGCTGGCTGTGTAGAAGCACATGCTGAAGTCCATGCACTCAAGAATGCCTTGCTACAATCAGTTTTTCCATCAGATTTTGCTCCCAAACTTTGGAGATTGTAATTAGCATTAGCTGCAATTGATGAGTAGTGGAAGAAGGTCAAGAGGAAATATTGGAAAGCAAGAATAAAACTTAAAGCTCCTGCCATTTTTATTTTTTTTTGTATGTTTGTGTTATAGAGAGAGAGAGGATGAGGAGATGAAGCAGTTATAAGAGGTATTTATAGGCTATAAGTTGAGTGCAATTTAGATAATGATGTTCAATTTGATCACTATCACACCGTGAAGAATAATTGTTTGGACAAATAAGAATTTCAAGTTATTTAATGCAATAAGAAAGTATGTATAACCAGAAAGGAAACTTGTTTTTTGAGAACTAAATAGGCATAGAATAAAAAATATGTTAGTTAAATTGTGGCTGAAGAAACAAAATACAGGCGCATGGATGTTTGTTTGGACAAATAAGAAATTCAACTTATTAATTTATTGATCAAATCTAATCAAATGAAAAACTTTGACAATGGGTAAATAAATATGGCTTAGATTAAACACATGATAGAAAATTTGCGTCTCAAAAAATAATATATATAGTAAGATCAATATATATATATATATATATATATATATATA